GTCATGGTATTCTTCTGTCTAGAAGACTGTACTGCACTAAGGGTGCTTGAACCTGTTGTCCAGTGTCAAACAGATCAGAGAGTGATGGGGCTTTCAGAGAGACTCTGTCCTTTAAAGGATCATAAAAATGAGCAGATGAGTAAAAATGCTAACTGAGCCTCAGCAGTGGGGAAGTGTGGAGATGCGTAATGCTCCATGTTACAGAGAAGTGAATCTACATGGGAGCCATCTTCATGTGCTTGCAGGAACTATGGTAAAAGCTTCAGTTGGCGCTCCTGCCTTCTTAGATGCTGAAGAATCCAACCATAATGTGCAAAACCATAGAAAAAACAACTTTGGTACTTCCCCTCTTCAGAGAAGGGCTTTTGTAGCAAGTCCTAGTGATCTAGAGGTTCAAGGTACTTTTGATGTGACAATACACAATCTGCTTTTGTGACAGCCCACCTCCTCTCCTTGCGTTCCTCTTTATTTGGATGTCTGGTGTGTCACACATGATCTAAAGTCCTAAAGTAAAGATGTCTCTCTTCCAAGCAGAACAGGCTTTAAGTGTCCTTTTTCTCCCCCAGGTTGATCAAGCCAGGTTTGAGAGGCCTCAAGAAGTCCAACTAGACTCTCCTGCTCCCCTTCCATAAGCTGCTCCCTCCACTCCCAGAAGTTCCCTCCAAGCTTACCCCTGAGAACGGGAACCAACTGATCATCAGTTATGAGCCTTGCTATTACTTGCTGTTACTACAAGAATATTTCAGACTCATCCCACTATGAAACATGATTTCCTTGGGCAGGTCACAGCCCTTGTTGGCTTTGCTGTGCAGTCACAGCTAACACAGAAGTTCAGAGGCAGGAGTAATTCCCCCTTAGTCCTGGCATTTGGTACTCATAATAGTTGCCCTCTTGTAGTGGTAGCGAAGGTATTTGTTCAGTAATAGCTCATGATTTTTCACAGCCATCACTGAGAGCCACCTCACCTTTGTCTAGATTCTGGACCCAAATGCGTTTCGCCTCGTTAGGCGATAAGATGCAAAAGGACTTTTGTAATGTCTGTTGTGCTTGGTCTTTATACAGAGGAGCTTAACCACCTGCCCCAAACCAGGAACGAAACTCTGCCACATAGTGCTAATCCTCACGATATTTCAACACGTTAAGGATTGTGGCAGAGCTTGTTAGGGGTGAAAGGTCAATGGTTGCTGAAAGCCAGCTTGGACAGAGCAGAGGCTTTCTCCAAATCTGCAAGGACCTGAGAGAGCATCAGCGTTGTGATGGGATCCTTGCAGAACCAGCTTTATTGCTGAGACAGTAAACTTCCAGATTTACTAAACCGAGATAACTTGCCAAGGAACGTTCTGTGCTTATCAGAAAGAGATGTGTTTTGGCCTAAAACTGGAAATTGCTTTGGGATGCAGAAGAACTTGTAGAGGTCAGCCCTGTCAGACTGTGTCAGTGACCCGTAGACATGGGCTTCTGCGTGTAATCTTTTACCTTTACATAAAAAAATTATTTTACGTGTATATTAATACTTATTTTAATGTGTGTATTTGCAAATTTACATATGTAACTTCCAGCTGCATTCATACGTTTCTCATGGGAATAGGGACCAAAACGCGTACTAAAGGGTATGTCTGTAAAACCATGAACGTTATTTAGAGACCAAGATGGGCAACCATATCACTGAAGGCCCAGGTCCCATCCATGGTTCATAGCGATGCAAAACAGAGATCCCAGAAATGAACTGGAGATGGCACGCTACTTCTCCAGTTAGTCCATCTCTACTGGAGGAATGGGAGTGTGCTTTGGGGAACCAAAGGAGCTGTCTTCAAGCCAGCTCTCAGAGGCACATCTGATTGAAGCCTGTCACTCATTGTAAGGTTTTTGGGCTTCTAGTGTACCTGGGATAAGGGCATGTATCCTGTGCCTGCTTTCTTCTTGTTTTTATGGGAATATATGTAAAAATGCTAGTGCACAGTAAGTGTTTGTGGATGAAAGGAAGGTTCACTAAGTGTAAATGGAAATGACGCAGAAGGGGCAAAAATCACAAGAGTCTTTTCCGATCTGTGGGAAAAGTGATGGCTTTGAGGATTTATCTGAGTATTTTATGTTCCAATTCAACATTCATGGAAGCCCAAAATTTAGTTATTAATTTACTTTGTGGGAATAACTTACAAAAACTTCAGGATTTTTAGGTAAAAATACTGTTCTAAGTTTAAATGCTTAGAAAGATTTTGATTGTCTTATTTTGAAAATATGAGTATGAAAGGTAAGAAGGGAGGATGCTCACCACTGTTATCAGCATGAGGCAGGTCTAAGTCATTATCTAGTCCTCCTTTGTTTCTGTAATTCCTTCATTTCTGTGACTGCAGCTCCTGTAATTCAAGTTGTCCCCAATACTGCAATGTTCTCTATGCAAGAGCTGATCTAATACTCTGTATGGGTTACAATGCAGCAAGCTGAGCTTTAGGCCTTAATTCTGAATTTCCTGCACTCTTATGGGTTTTAATTGGACTTCATGTTAGTTGCACAATGTTTTTTTGTGATTTAATTGAGCAGTCAGTGTGAATTTTGTGGTGTTCATGTGCTCGTGTGAGAGAGGGAGATTTTCTAAGTGTTCAGTGTTCGCATAGACATAAACAGGTGGGTTTCCAGCAGAGATATTTGCATTTGAAAACCTACTCTAAACGGGCTGGGATTTCCCAGGAGGAGCAGCACCAGCAGTGAAATACAGCGATCGATCAGCATAGAATTGTGTGAGCATTTGATGGGCAAAATGTTGTGGTATAAAGACAGGACCCAAGAATAAGCTCTTTGTGGCTTTGTTTCGTTCCTGAAAACTGTGACTGAGAAGCTTTTATCACTGGAAAAAAAAAAAAAAAATTAGACGCATTTTGCCTAACCTGGAAAACATCAGCAAGATCTGTTGCAAAATTGTAAGTGCTGTTTATTTCTTCAATCCAATTTTGGTGTAAGAAAACTTTTAAATGAAGTTTTTCATTTCTGTCTGCCTATATACCCAACTTGAAAGTTAGAGAGTGTAAGAACTATGTGCTGAACCACTCCTTTCAGTCACAGAGCTGAAAAGCGTGTAATTTATTGTACATAATGGTGAACTCTTTTTCTAAGCAGCCTGCATTTGCTGTTTTCTCTCTTTCCTAGTTATAACTAGGGAAAACATTCTCTTCCTTATCACAACACTTTTACTCCACGCCTTGTTCTTCAGGCCAAGTTGCTTACAGTATTGGGAGTTTATTTTAATTCTTACTTTATCAAATGAGCTCTCCAAGAAAAATATATATAAATGTTCAAATAAACACCAATGGGGACACCTGGTGGAGAAACTACGAGTTGCCCACGAGAGTCTGGATTAAACTACTATGAATATGCAACAATGAATTAGCTATCAGTGTGACGATCTGTGAGTGTTTTTAACCACAGTAACTGCAAGATAACTCTGGTTAGCTTAGTTGCCTGCCACTGATGGCTCCGTCGAAGCATCCTGCGCTTGCCACTGGCGGAGAGGACTTGCACAAGAGTTGTCAGGGTGCTGGTGAACAGTGACTGTTGCGCAAGCACCCGCTTCCCAGTTTCTGTTGTTGCTTAACGTGGTTGCAGATAAAGCTGCAATTGCTGGTGAATGCTGTTTTTCTTTTGCTGCTGCAGAAGCTGCTGTGCCCACTTTGAGGATTCTCAGATAAGCGCTGTAGATATTTTCTTAAGAGATGTCCTGTTCACAAATGTGTTTGGAAGGTAGTAGTTGGGAAGGTTAGGGGAAAAGCCAGGACCACATCTGCTCCTAGCTGAGAGGCAGAGGAGAACCCAGACTGGACAACGTGCCTTCTCTTGAGTGGGTTCCTGCTCTACGTGCCACAGGATACCCCAGTCTCAAGTGCCCAGTTCATTCCTGGGGCTCCACACCTATGTTAGAGGGCAGAGTTTGGTTTCTAGGTTGCTTATTTGTGTGTACTATAAAAAACTCTGTTCAGAGTGGAACAAGCACAAGATCAAGGCAATCAAATGGGCAGCATTTTTGTACGTGTGCTCTTGGAGCTGTGTACAAGTAGACCCTACTTTAATTGGAGAGAAAATGCTCATGGTTGATTATTTCACTTCTAGTTTGTTCAGAAAACAAGAATTACCCCTTCTTGTGACAAGGCAGCAACATATAAACGGGTTCTGGTGTGCCTTCTGGCAGGCACCAGCTTCAGAGCATGGGGTTATCTGTTTTCTTAGGCTTTCTAAGCAGGAGAGGAGGAGAAGAAAAATTCTTATAGTCATGGAGAGGGAAGAATAATTTCCGGCTGTTTGTTTTGCTGCAGTCTGTTCTGACATAGAGTGAAACTTATAGCTTACTGATTTTCTCATTATCTTGGGAAAGAAGGAATATAGTAATTATAACTCTATACTAGAGCTGCCAGACAATTGGAAGAGAAAAGTGACTTTGACTTAGACTGTCACAAGTTAGGCAACAAGCTGTGGATTTTATTAGATATAGCAGAGTATTATTTGTATTTAATTCACATTTCAGAATCTTTTCTCTGTGGCAAATCAGAGTTGCAAATTAAGTATGAATTGCTGTTCCATAAGCATCCAGCATGGCCAGCTGACTGTCTGTGCCCTTGCACAAAGTGAGAATAATAATAAACGAGAGACTAACTTTGTATTCCTGTGCTGGGATTAATGTCAAACCAGGGCACTATTTTTTGCTACAGGACTGCGACTCAAGATCAGGTAGTTTTATATTTGGTGTTTGAATTCAGATGCCTCAACAAGGTGCCTTTCCTGCTGCAGGATTGGGTGCTCCAGCTGACGGAGACTCAGCAGAGCTGACTAGAGGCAGTCACTTTGAATAGCAACCAGTGACTCTCCAGAGCCTGACCAGAGGTTCCTGTCTGACAGTGGCCAAGAGCAGATGCTTACAGAAGGAATATGAGTCCTGAGCAAGTCCCTGGTTTATCCTTCCAGCTTCTGGCAGATTTTAATCACTAAATATTTCTTGGTTTTCCTCTTTGCAGAAAACACCTTCTGTAGTGGTGACCATGTGTCGTGGCACAGCCCTTTGGACAACAGTGAATCTAGGATCCAGCATATGTTGTTGACAGAAGACCCTCAGATGCAGCCAGTGCAAACTCCTTTTGGGGTTGTTACTTTCCTGCAGGTATGGCACAGGAGCGGTGGCTCTGATGGTCACCTCTTGGGTATGGCGTGGAGCTGACATTACGTTTATTTAGTTTTGATAAGTAGCATGGTCTTTCAGGACTTGCTGTCAAACGCTTCTTTCTCTGTTTTCCACTTTTCTACCTGCTTTGATTACAATGGGTCTCACCCTTGAGCCGTTCCTTTAGTGGTGTTCAGTAAGGATTTTACTGGTATTGAGCCACAGTGCACACAGCTCTCAGGGTAGAGGCCTATCTGATGGAGAGAAGCTTGACACTCTGAAAAAGACCCAGCATTGAACGTGGCATATTGCTGTGCTGAAATTCAAAAACCAATGCGGAAAAAGGCTCAGAGAAACACTTTTTCAAAGATTATTCAGCGCTAAATTCAAGTTAATGCTATGGCAGCATTAATAAGGGATCCGCTGGTTTGAGGTCCAGGGAGAAAGGTACTTGGAGTAGGATTCAGACTTGCTTTTGCATCATTTAATGGCAGAACTGTAGCCTGCGGCATTGACACGAGGATTCTTTAGAGGCTAAGTGAATTTGCCTGTATTGATCTACTGTTTAAGAAAGGTTCAGGTTTGCTTTGCAGAAGAAACGTTAAAAAAAAAAATCCCTTGCCTATTCACCCCACTGTTCAATGAGGGGAGCTCCCTTGGCCAAGCAGGTTTGCTTGCTTTCCCAGACTCCTTTTTATCAGGGATACATCTCAGATACGGGCTGCTTTGGACATTTTTAAATTGCATCTGGAGCTGTTTAGGCTAACTGCTGATTTCTCCCTGTCCCATGGAAAAGCTTCGCTGATGTGGGAAGATGCAAGTATCTGTATTTTATAATTTAAGCTTCAGGTTACTCCCACTTGTCCTTGGCTCTAGTTGCAACAAGTGATTAAAGAAGGAGTAAGAAGAAGCTCCATTATCACAGACCTGCAGAAGGCAACTGCCATGTAGGGGCAAAGGCTTTCCTGGATCTTCTGAGGTGCCCAAAAGCCTGTGTTTTATCAACAGGCAAGAGAGAGATGTGGATTAATCAGTAAAAGGTGAGTTGTGGGCTCTCAGGAGAGAGAAAGTAAAGCTAAGCAGGGTGATTCCTGGCTGGCCCCCAGTGGGTTCTACGGTAGCTCCCATCCCTTCTTTAGTGCCCAGCTGTTCCGGATCAAAGGACAGTCAGCTTGTTGCATCCTGAGGCTCTTGGCCTCTCATCGTCTTCACAGCACATATTGTTGACCTATTTTTCGCTTTTATTTGTTTGATGCTTGTTGTTATGGATTTATTTTGACCCATGAGGATAAATAATTGCCAAAAGAAAGGAATGAACACAAAATAATTTCCTGTTTAGAGTCTTGCTGTTTGTATGTAATTAGTGAGTAAGGGCCCAGGGAGGGCTGTGCTGTAGTGAGGGTGATTCAGGCTGTTTGCTGAGGAAGCCTGGGAGATGGGTGAGGCTGAAGAGCCAGTCCAAGAGCTGGGTCTTGAGAAAGAGCGCTCTGCAAGGGGCAGCAGGCAGGATGTGCAGAACTAGGTGCATGCTGGCATTGATAGTTTTCCACACAGATCTCTATCAGTGCGGATACGCGCTTGTAGCAAAGGCACATCAATTACTTCCACTTACAGCTCTTTGGAATTTAGTTTCCAGTTCTCCTCTTTTCTGATAAAGCACTAGCTGAACAAATTTTGACTGAAAATTCAGTATCACTCAGTGGAAAAGGCTTAGGCTCTTGAGAGAGAAAATAGAAGTCCGCGGCTGAAAGAATTCCTCATCCCAAAGGGTGGATCATTGTGCTCCAAGGCACAAGCCAGCAGTTGGGGGATCAGGAAGAAACTGCCTTTCTCTATCAACTAAAGAGCGTTTCACTCCTTCGTTTGAGGCAGCTGATCTCAGCTGCTGTGAGAGAGAGAGCTGGTATTGCTCAGTGTGGCAGTTCCCATCCTGATGGGCAAACACATCCTGCCTTGTACGGGAAGGCAGCAGTCCACAATTGCCTGCAATGAAGAGTGGATTATGTGATGTGTAAGCAACTCTGTGGTGCCGGATAAGATTTAACCACTCAGCAAACTGAATTGGTCAAGGATTTATGAGCACCAAAGCATTCCTTTGTGGCAGTGAGTCCTTTGCCTAACTGAAACTTGCTGATGTAGTGTTGCGTTTGCTCCTAGCAGTTGGCTGACAGAGCATGTGTTCGGACCCTAACATGTGCTGCCTTTAAAAGAATGGTGCTTCCCTGTCTCTCCAGTTTGATCTAGGAGCACGTGGCACATTTTCTCTATGGTTCTTGCACTGTTCCCATACTGTTTAGTATCTCTGCTTTTATTTATTCCAGATTGTTGGGGTTTGTACTGAGGAACTGCATGCTGCGCAGCAGTGGAACGGACAAGGGATCTTGGAACTGCTTCGGACTGTGCCTGTGTAAGTGTCCATTGGCTCGTACGGCTCCGCATAGAAGAGCATTCTGAGTGAGAGCAATTTATTTGTGTTGTGTGTTTTGTTTTTTTATGAACAATATTTAACTTATTGATGGAACTTATTTAATCCTGTATTGTAGCAGGTGATGGGAATTCATTGCAATTCTTTTCTCACATGCAGATGGCAAATTAATGCATGTGAAAGTCAACATGTCCTGAGTGAAACCAAATGATCTCTTGAAAGCTTAATTTCCTTCCTTTTGTGCGTGCAGCATTTTCTTATTGGCTCTTCCTGGAAGAAAGAGGATAACTGTTCCTGATGTCCTCTCTATGTAGTCCAAAATAAAGAAGGTAGAAGGTCTGACTTACGGTACCTAGTAAAGCTTGGTTATTATCTGAAAGTGAGAAAATTATGGCAAACTTGATGGGCCATTTTGCAGGAGGAGGAGTGTTCATGCTAGCGAGGTTCGTTTTGTTATTTCTCCATGATAATGTTGGATCAAGGAGGAGATAGATTTAAAACGTTACGTGATACGTTGAAGCCTTATTTGCTGCCAGGTTGCAGCTAAGCCTTTTTAGCTTGCGAGTGTTTTGTTTAAATGTTTTCCTCTCCTATTTAGGGGAGGTTATTGCGGTATGATAGTAGCTCGAAAGATTTTAAGCAAAGTGGTTTTGAATATGTGCTCCTGGGCACCATAGCCCACTCTCTAGTACCACAGTGGACTTTTATCTCAGCTTTGATTTTTCCTTTTTTCTTTGAAGAGTCCAGCCTTTGCTGCTGTCTTCTTGAACTTCTTAAACTTCTTCTGAATCTTTCCCCTCTAAGCACAAGTACAGATAGTTTGTGAGGATGCGCTAGAGAAGAGAGAATCTGTGCAACTGCAAGCTTTGTTTCTGGGACCTCGAAACAATAAACACAACCCCCCCGATTCCTCTTAAGTTTATGCAGATACGCTACCCTTCTCATTCTGTTCTCCTGTTACATTTTTGGGAAAGTGCTGCTTTTGTGCTGTGGTACAAGCACCTTTCCAAGGGTAAAATGAAAGCCAAATACACTGCAAACTACTGAGCTGCTGATGTGGCATCAGGGTGAAAGTCTCTTGCATCCCAGATGAGAAACTGAAGCAGGTGGCACCTTGCAGTTAACAATTAACAGCTTCCAAAGTGATGTGACAAAAGAATGGCTATCAGTGCATCTGAGGAGCTATAAAATATTAACTTATAGTGCTCTGACTGCAAGTGCTTTAAGAGACTATAACACAGACAAGGCCAGAGGAGGGGGCTTTTGACTGCAATAACGAAGTATGTAATGAAAAAGTGAATTTTTTATGGCAATTCCAGAAGACTTCAATCAGTTTTTATTTCAAATGAAAAGCACCCTCTAAAACTGATTTCTGCAGTCTGTGTGCATTGTGACCCAAATTAAAGTCCTCAAATAGTTTATCTTCACAGTAATGTTTTCTATCACCTTTGTTAGGAAACATCTTGACCGTTCCAACTTTTATTGCTAATGAAAACAGATTTTCCTGAACCATCTGAGTACGCAGCCATTAAGTACCAACTGGGCAGAATGTCTATTGTGAGGATATTAATCAAAGCAGTAAGCTTTTCATGGTACTGAACATGACTGCTGATCTCAGCAAAAAGCAAAGTCCCATCAGGACCCTGCTGCTCCTATAGATGTGTAATAGAGGTGGTAAATCTTGGCCCCAGGCCTCGCTTGCCTTTCCTAGGTCCAGGCTACACTGGACTTCCCTGTCCCAATTCACAGTTACCTACTAAGAATAAAATGTGGTTCAGTCTTGTATGAATAAGTGGGTCCACACAGGGGGTAGCCTGAGTCGATCTTGACTGTGTTGCAAGACTTGGGGGTGCCAGCCACTAGGCAGATAGCAGTCAGGTCATGGAGGGCTTTCATTATGTAAAAATGTAAAGGACAAATGGGTGCTATGGGATATATATGCAGCATGGAGGGGCTTCTAGGCTTTTTTTTAAACTGTCTTGCGCTTCCTCCAAGTACAGGTCTACCCTGGGGACTCTGTCTGGAGAGTAGTAGGTAAAGTCCTTGTTTGGTTCATTATCCTTCTTTCTTTGTAGAGCTGGCGGCCCCTGGTTAATAACAGATATGCGAAGAGGAGAGACAATATTTGAGATTGACCCACATCTGCAAGTATGTCTTTAGTTAATAAAATGTCATGCCTTCTGTAGTAGCCAGGGAAAATTGGTTTAATGCTATTAACACACTTCTATTATTTTCTGTAAATGTGCTATGATCTTCTCAATGTTTGCAATTGTCACAGGGCTATCTTAAGACTCCTTTTGCCCTCTCAGAGGTGGTTCTAATGTTCAGGTATGCACATGTCCAGGCCCAGGTGAATGGCAGCTCTAGGAAAAAATGTAGAGAAGAGGGACCAGGAAGCGGAGTCTCATACGTCAGACAAATTAGTAAGATTTGGGTTGCTTGTTTTGGAAAGGAGGAAAAAAAAAAAAAGGAGATATAAGGATATAGAATGGTACATGATTGAGAGAAGATAGATTAGGAACTTCCCTCTTCATTTTGTGTGCAAACATAAGGAGATATAACCTACAGAAAATTCAAAACCTACTAAAGTAATATTTTTTCACAGATGTGACAGTGTAACTTATTCCTCTAGGAAGTCACTTGAGGCCACGTAGTGTAATCTGAAAAAGAATGGGAAGCCAAGAGTATCTCATACAGTTATCATTAATAATACATTCAGGAAGATATATTAAACCTTCTGCTTCAGAGTTCAAATTAATTTCTAAAGTTAAAAGATAAGAATAGGACCTGCATGGGGTAGGGGGTTACCGTCCCATGGCCTACAGCTGATTTGTGTGTTTGATAGACAGTTCTGCATCCCTTCGGCAGAAACCAAGCAAATCTAGTGTCATGCTGACCTTGTGTCAGTGAATCACTAAGAATTTTCCTTTGACAGAGAACTCATGGCTTAGCCTGGTAGGGCACGTGCATATGATCATGTTTTATACAAGCTATTGCATTTGCTTATGGTCTGTGTGTCTGCATCTGATTACCCTCAGTTGCCTCACAACATTTTTTGTTTTGAAAGCTTAAGAATAAAACCAAATTCTACTTGCACTGTTTTTAGGGATTCATTCATCTAAAATAACAACCTCAATCTGAGAGAGAGAAAAATATTCCACAAATATCTCATAGCATGGGTGCTAATACAACTGTAAGCCTTCTAAAAGTTTCAGGCTCTTGAAAATTTTGCCTGTGTGTCCTCTCCCCTCCTGGAGGGTGTTTGTCTGTTCTCTACAGACTGGTGATTCCTAGTGATAACAGGGCTTTCTTCAATTTACTGTAAATGAAAAGTAGCTCAACTTACTGGAACCTGAGTCAGCCAAGGCAAGTTAAGGCAAATAGAAAAGTACTTCTCCCTCACTAGTGTGTCCTGCCACTGAAGGCTGCTCTGTCTGTGGTCTTTCCGGACTTCCTCACATTGAAAACATTCCTGTTTCTGTTCTCTCTTGCCCCTCTCGCAGTGAGTATGTGCAGGTATGTGTGTACATCCTTTCTGCCGCACTGCCACTGAAGGCAGACTGTGAGGGAGACCCAGGGCAGAAACTTCTTTTGCAGTCCTGAGTCCTGAAGTGCCGGGAACAAGGCTGTGACAGCCTGCGTTCAGCCTCCGCCGTGGGCCTTCCATTCTGAATTAGTGGGGAAAGGATAAAGCGGCTTTCACTTGGCATTTTCTTGGTAGCGTTACTTGGTGCCTGAGAGCTGAAAGGCACCAGTAGAGGATAGGTGGAGGCGAGGGAGGGAGAAGGGAGAGAAAATGGATAACTTTCCAGGGAACAAGCAAACACATTGCCTGCCTGGGAAGCAAGCAGAGCTTGTTTTGAGACTGCATTGTTTCTTGTGGGAATTGGTTGAGGCCTAAACCCAGCCCTGGCAGCAGCAGCTGTACTTTCTGTTCGAAGTTGCTGAGAATGAGTCCCAACTAAGATGTCATCCCAGGATGTCAGCAATTAACACTGCGGCAACACTGGCTGGTTTCTGTTCAGCCAGGCTTCCCTGTAGGCCATTCAGATTTCCCTGGCAGTACTGTCAAACCATCCCTGTTGGTCCCTAGCTCTGCACTGATTGTCAGTGCTTTGCTTCTGTCGTAGCAGATATCTCAGAAGAGAATAAAGCTGATTTGAATTTCCTGAGTTGTGGTTGCTGCTCTGTGGGTCACGCTGCAGTGCTCTGGCTCATTTAGAAAGGGATCAATGACTTATAAGAGCCTCAGAGCATCCCTCCCACATGCTGAGAGGAAAATGGGACAGAAACATTCTTTCTTTGAGGAAGGAAAAAGCTGAACCTCCTTTGCACTGAGCTCGTCCAGCCTCCTGCTCAGGCTGCCCTTTCGGGAAGAAAGAACAGCCCCTCGGCCCAGGCACGTCTTTACTGGGCAAAGATGGGGTAACACTGTGCATCACCCCAAATGAGAGCATGTGTTGGTTAGGTTTTTTTTTTTTTCTCCCCTTTAGCATCAACACTTGCAAATGTTGTAAAACAGGCATGGAAATTGGGCTACCTTAGGCCAGCTCATTTCCATCAGTCCCCCTTGATCTCCAAGAGATGCCAACAGAGCAGCACTTCTTCCCCTAAGGAAGTGCTCTGCAAACCAGCTGAGATGCAGATGATGAGCTACAGAGCCTTTCCCCTCCCTTAGCTTGTGTGTCCTGTCCGGAGGTGCTAACCGTGTCAGGGCCGTGGGCTCTTCTTCTCCCTCCTCGAGGCCAAGTTTGGCTCTCCCACGCGTCCCTGGTCACTAGAATAAAAAATAACCATGCTGACAAGCCAAAGCTCCCCATCCTTGCACCAGCTGATTTTGGTCCTCACAGAGCACTGTGGGAGCTCCCTAAGGGGCCATGTGGTAAAGCATCATTTGCGTATGTAGGATCAATTTTTTTTTTTTTCACAACTTCTATTTCTGGGTGGAACAGCTTGTTTTATATTTAGGATATAACAAAAGAAAATTACTGCAGATTTGTTATTTCTCAGATTCTCCCATTACTTTTTCCCAGAAGCCAGTTTTCCATGACTCTGGAGGAAGATAGCAGCAAGTGGAAGCCTTCTCCCAGGGACAGAAGCAAAAGGAAGGCAGTTTCTTGACAGCTTAAATTTTCCTAAGCCAGGATTGCTCTGGTCCTACCCTTAGCTGCAGGCTTCTGCCTGATGCTTTGGGCGGGGGAACCAGTTCAGGGAGGTGATCCAGCTGAAAAAAAAAAGTCACTTGGCTCAGGTGAAGGGGTAGGAGCACATGGAGGAGGGTGGGACAGTAGCTGCTGTGAATTAGATCAGCTTAAACTGCTGTGAAACCACACCCAGAGTGCTTGTGCTTATCTTTGAGCTGCTCAAACCCTCTCTTGAATGATCAGGAGAACAGGCAATGCCCTTTAATAGGGTACAGCGTATTCCGCTGAGCAGGGGGAGGAGCGTATGTGGGTTTTTGTATGGAAACAGCTTCTTAGGGATCAGAGCACTGAATGCTCCCACGGTCTCTTGACTTCAGTGGCCAGCTCAAACCGGAGGGTTAGGAATAATGAACGAGATCTGCTTCTGTTGTGTGTAACGCTCAGAGAAGCGCTCTGCTCTTTCCTCAAATCTTCAAAGTTTGTCTTGCATATTGCAGAAGCTATCACATAATTTGGGATGATGCAGATGTACATAGTGAGATGGAGATCTTGCTAGAAGTGACGCTGCTTCTCAAAAGGGGAAAACGAACCTGATTTATTCAGTGCCTGCTGAGAGGTAATAGAGCAGAGAGAAGCCCTTCCCCTCTGTGACTTAGCCCTAGGTTTGTCCAGCTCAACATTACCCCCTTGTGGGAAATAGGTGGAAATTCAGACTAATGCCTGTTCCCGTTAGCAGGTAGGAGTCCTTTGGAATTTTTGGCTGTATAGCTTAAGGCAGAGTCTGACTGGCAGCAAATGCATGTGTCCTTGAAAAAAAGCCTGGTGTCTAAGAATATCCAGCTGCATGCTGTTTGTGTGCAACACGTTCCTAGACCCAAACAGTGGTTACGTGCTTGGAAATCCCACCTCGCAAGGGATGGAGTTTGTGTATTTTGCCAATAGAGAAAGCTGTGCAATAGCTTTGACATCTGCACGCAGATCTTATGTTTCCCTTGCACATTTGTACTTGACTGAACACAGCAGCGTATTGAAAAGCAGTAGCTGTCTGTTCAGTTTGCGAATAATGAACTCTTGTGAACAGTGAGCCGCTCTGTGAACTTTTTTTTTTTTTTAGTCTGGGACTCCTTGGTAAGCTTGGAAAGGGATGTTAAGTTTAGTTATTTAAGAGTTTGTTTTCAGTTGCAAAAAAAAAAAAAAAAAAAAGGTAGACTGTCAAGTTGTGCTTCATTCAGGAGTATACCCTGTAGTGTCATAAATACTTCAAGTTGGTATAAGCTGGAGCTGATACTGAAAAAAACAGCCCTGCACGGCCCTGGCCACTCATTTCCACCTCTGTCTTTCCCTGCTTTGTGCCAGCAGTGAAATAGTGGGGAGGGGACTGGAATTCAAACCAACCTGCTACCAAAAAAAGGATTGTTCCAGTTCAGATCAGCTCCCTAATTTGGCTCAATGTGCAACCAGCAACCACCCTTAGCTGGCAGATCGGGGGGTGGGGGGGGGGAGGACAAAGAATAGAAACAGGCGGCAGAAGAAGGATACGTAGGGGCTGCTGAAGGCAGCTGAGCCGATTCTGCCCTAGAGCCAGAGGGCTTCCAGCTCACATCCAAGTCACACCCAAAAAAGTCTTGGGGTTTTGGATCTTTTCAAGCAGGAGAGAGTCGACAAAGGGATTGAAACAGATGGCTCAAACCTGAGCGGCGTGAGTGCCAAGTGTGCCTGGGACGATCTCAGCCGGCCCCCAGAGGATGACGAAGACAGCAGGAGTATTTGCATTGGAACCCAGCCACGGCGGCTGTCCGGGAAAGGTGAGAAGTCCTGCAGTGGCCTTTGGGCAGTGGGCTGAGAGTCATGCATCATCGTGGGATGTGTAACAAACACCACATTTACGAGAAGGCTCAGTGTGTCTCAAGGGGATGGAATGAATTTTGGTATGGCCTCTTCAAGGAAGATGGGAGGGATGGGGAGAGAGATCGAGAGAGAGCTTTGCGTTGTTTTGTCTGAATTTATCTTGTAGTTTTTAGGCTAGTCCTAATCTAAATCTCCAGAGTTAAACTGAGCACTGGGTGAAACCGGGACCTTAAATACCTGCAAGGTGAAGCAACTGCGTTTTCCCAGGCCATGTTTCCTTTTTAACATTGTTACTTCCTGGGTGTCAAGTTGGACTAACGCTTCATGTTGCTGTAGCTAAACTCAGGTAATACTTGCAAACAATTTTGGAAAGAGGAAATGGCATACAGTGGAGTTCCCCTTTACGGTGAGATGCCATCTCAGGCTACAGATGTCACAGCCATTAAGCACACTTGAAATTAGGCGTGTTAGCTTTCAAACTGGTCAAGTAATGTAAAATTTAAGGGTTTGAGATTTCCAGAAATTAATGATGGTTTCCATAGGAATGATACCTTGCTTGTTTTGATTCTATAGCGTAAAAAAAAAAAAAATTAAATGCATATAGCATTCCATGTGGCTTCTGTGCAAATATTTTGAACTGCTGTGGATCTAAAAAGACTAGACACTGTTCTCCCTGAGCCTGCAAATGAAAAGCCTGGGACAGGTCTACACAGTGATATTTGCCTGTCCTTCAGATGATTCTGAAATAATTTGGATATTTTGTCCTGCACCTAATTCTCACATTTCTGAAAAAAGTCAGGGAAATGTCTAAAGATTGAAGTTCTGGGGTACAAGCATCCTTTTAAAGTATTTGCTCATTAGGCATTACAGGAAAATGAAAAAGTAGAAGGACTGCATTCAAAGTGCATAAATTTGCAGTTTATTTTCAAATGTCAGCTTGAGGATGAAGCTTACCGTGCATAAAATTCCTTTTTCTTGTGGATATTTTTGTAAATTAATTGACAGATTTGCAAAGTGCAGAAACTCAGGGACCCTCATGCACTAATTTGGTAGAGGAACAAACTACTGTTATGCCTACTCCCGTCACAAAAGCTGGAAGTGTCACGAGGTTCAGCAAGAGCTGCAGAAGCAGCAAACACCTCATTTATGAAATGAATACAAAACTACTCAAAATTTCCTCATCAGGAGGGCGTAGTGCAAAGGTTCCAGCTTTCCTTGCCTGACATAACATAGCAGCCCGAAACAACAGTGAAGTAACTTCTAAACTGAAGAAGGGCTGTTAGGAATTCAGCCTTATTTTATCCCTTGACTTCTTTCTGAAGGGGAAGAGTTTGGATGAAACACACCATAGAAGTAGGCCTTTTAGGAAAAGCTGACACCTTATTGCGTCTGCAATGTTTCTGGGGACAGTAAATCAGGCTAAACAAATTCTCTTTGCAGATACGGAGCAAATCAGGGAGACTTTGCGAAGAGGGCTTGAGATTAACAGCAAACCTGTTCTACCTCCAATAAATGCACAAAGACAGAATGGGTTGAACCATGACCGAGCACCGTAAGTTTAATTCTGCGCTCTCAGGTGACAGGAGGAGGAAGGCTAAAGAGCTCAGAGTTGGGGGCGGGGGGAGTTAAAGCTGGGTGGAAAAGACTTGACAGGGGGAGAGGAAAGTTAACAGCAAATACTTGCAAAGTGCAAGAATACAGGGAAAAGAGTTGCTCAGGCTGGGTTAATAGGCTAATACTCGGGAGGACAGATTTTGAGACAGATGTTGGGCAAACCTTGCTGATGCAGAGTGGCTCTGACTATGTCCTAGAGGACTTGCTGCTCACAGTGCAGTGTTTGAGGTCGGACTGGGCTGAGCCCTTTAAAATGTGCTGGGTTAAACAGTGCTGTACTATCCAGAGAGCTAGGTGGAATAGAGCAGTGTTTGATATTTTTGCCTGAGCGTTTTGTTTTCAAACTCACCAATACAAACCTTTTGGTTAAAATATTATGGTGGGGGTTTTTTGTTTTTTTGTTTTTTTTTTTTTTGACAAGGTGACTTTGATCTTGTCTAGCTTAAGCAAGCAAGTACTGGCACTAATCATATGCCAATACCATCCTAGGATCTTATAATCTGTAGACAAAAGGTGGAGTAAAGTGGGACTGGCAAGGCCTGTAGCTTTCGACTTTGGTGAATCTATAGGCAATCACTTGTGGTCTCAGCCATTTGCTGTGTCTGCACTTCGGTTCTGTGGGTTTTTTCCCCTTCCCATCTTAGGCTATGTTTCAGTTACTAGATAAATCTATTCCCATCAATTATAATGGTTTCATCTAAATCTAAAAAAGTCTAAAGAAAACGCGTGTGTCTTTGCTGCATTCTTTCCTCTTGGTGTTTTTTTTGGTTTCCTAGTCTCCCATGAACACTTGTGCTTTCTTGTTCAAAGAATAAAGACCATCACGCTCTTTCCTGGAGTGCCAGGCAGGCACAGCATCCTGCTCTCTGTTTCAATTCCTCTGTTTCATTCTTGGTTCAAACATTCTATGAGAAAAATATTCCTGGTACATGATTAGGACCCTGATGTTCTTTCTGGTTCCTTTTTTTGTATAACTTTTGATTTGGCTGACTTAAGAATATTTTTGAGTTACCAAGTCCTTTGGGGAAGTATTTTGTCAATTGCTGATGCGATGTACTAGTAAATAATATGAGGTAGTGGTATTTTTAAAAAAAAAAAAATCTCAAATGGCTTTATTACTGTTATTTTTGCTATATAATAATTGTATGGAGCCAGATTCTGACTTGACTCAGACTCTGAGTGGTATTTCTCCGCCTAAGGTTGATCTTACTGGAAAAATGTAACGATACTGTGTGATTTGCAAGGATCACACCCAGCCTTAGAAGGCTGAAAAGTACTGAACAGCATTTCTCAGGGATACTGGGCTCCTGCATGAATCCGCGTGCCCAGTAAAAGCCCTTTGTTCACAGTGGTTTGGGGTGACCAGAAATATTTGGGGTGCTCATTAGGGCAGGGAGGCAGCTGCTGGGTAAGCCTTACTGCTGGGAAGTAGTCTTTGCTCAGATAAGAAAGCTTTATATTATCCAGGATAAGGTAAACAGAGATATGCTCAAGACAGAGTACTGAAATGTTAACAGAGGTCAGAGACGGAACACTCACAAATATTTACCTGGGTTTTTAACGGTTCTGAGACAGAGAGGAAGGTAGGTCAAACTTGGAGCTTCGTACCCATGATAGTGCTCTTTGTAGCAAATCTGTCCTTCCTGTAGCAGCTGTGCACCCACCTTCCCTGAAGCTTGAATAGTAGGCATGGCAGGTTCCCAGTGTTTGTCTCCTAGAAGATCAATATATTGCTCTGAGGTCTGTGGTTACCACTGTGGAAACTGATAGCCTCTTTCTCCGTAATAGCAGTTCAATTAAGGAAGGAGAGTTATCAGACCGCTGTGTGTCTTGCCTGCAGTCAATCTGGTGATAGTTAGCATCTGAGCAATAGAGGAGGTCTCAACTTAAAAAGCAGTGTTTCCTGACACCACCTTCCTCTGTTCTTACTGACTAGTCAGAGTTTGGAAAAGGTCTTTCTTCTTTGTAGAGTTGCTTTTCTTCCTCTGATTCACACAGCGGCTATAATGGCATTTGTTCAATGCCGTGTCCTCACTGGGAGGAGTGGCTTGTGCTGGCAACCTCTAAGTAACTTGTAATTAAATCAGACCTGGTTGTTAACCTTACTGTGGCTAACACTTATCAGTCCATGTTTTTTTCCAGCACAGCCTGGTATAGACGGAGCGAAAGAGAATGATCTTAGTAGGTCTTGGCCTTTTTTAATGCACCGTCTCAGCATCTATCTTCTGCATTTGAGCAAAGTTGGACAACCTACTGCTTATACATAAGCATGATCTGAAGTCTCTCTTCTCCCACTGCTGTAGAGGGAAGTAATTTAGGAGTTCAGCTTTTGCATGCGGTAGTATATCTACATCCACGTTACCTACAGGTACCTGTGGTGGCAAAGGTTAAGACATGAAAGGCACAAAACCTAGTATGGATATAGTGATTTCATAGGACTTGTAGGTAGGTGCCTGTGATGGAGGACAACTCTGCACATAGATCTAGTCCTTTGGGTACCATCTTTGCTTGGGCCTGGTAGAGCTGAGACTCTGTTCTGTCCTTCAGCGTAGATCTTGTGTAATCTAAGGCTCTTGAGTTAGCTCAGTTCAGTTAGCTCTTGAGCCTCAGTTCTGAATCTATAAAATGGGACTAATAACAATGTCATCTTCTTGACGCACCACAAGGATAAATATGTTAACGATTACGAGGTGCTGGCCGATGGAAGCCAGGCTTGTGTGTAATCATATCCTGCACACATCAGACCATAAAATATCAAACCTGTGGTTCGTTGCAAGGACCCTGTGAATAACTGGTGCATTAGGGGCTCCTCAGGAACTTGACAGAAGTGCTCTGTCAGGCATGGCAAGTTGTTCCAAAGCTACTTTGCATAGGAAGCACTGCAGAACCTCAGGCCATCAAATTTGCACCCAGCTGACATTAGGGTGTTCAAGTCTGACATAGACTCTAATGGCTTCATGCAGAAGAGGAATGTGCTGTTTATTTACCATAGATTTGCAGCCACTGACTGCTTTCCGAGTAGCTTTCTTCCCTTTCTTTTATCCCAGCCCTGCCACCCACACACAGTAATCGATCAGGGTTTAGAGCAGACAACCTGTTCTGCATTCAGTGTCACAAAATAACACAAGAAACACTCAAACTTCTTAATGTTTATTTGTATAAAGTTGTGGGGATCCATACCGACCTCCCTATTTTTGTGCTGTTACAGTTTCAGCACTTATACAAAAGCCTCTCAATGTTTGTTTGGTTGCAGATAGGGCTTAATTCAGTATTCTGGCTCCAGCAAAGCACATACTTACATGTTAAGCATGCATATTACCAGTTGTTCACTGTTCCAGAGTCCTAAAAAACATTCCTTTGAGAAAAAGCTGGTTTCTGTCAAAACCCTGTTGGGCAGCTGTAGCACTTTGATTCATTAGTGTTATTACTGTAGACTGTGTAGCCCTTTTTCTCCTAAGGATATGAATAAAAGCACTCTTAATGCTTGAAACTGCATTGGACATCTGTTTCTCAAAATGACTGTTAGCTCAGTTCATAAGCAGCCATTAAATCAGTTCGTAAGCATTAAACAAAAGAACGTGTAGATTAATCTTTGGAAACATGACTAATCATTTTGACCGTAGGTAACATAATACTCTTGATTACTACTTGGAAAAATGAGGCATGTATGAATACAGATGTACTTTATAGAGACGCATTGTTTATTTTTTAGGACCCATCAGCTTGGTAGGTGCTATTCAGACAGACAAAAACACAAGGCCCCCAGTCTCCTGAACTGTGCAGATTCCGCCATTGTTGGATGCCGTTAGCTGTTATCAATAGGGAAAGTCTAGATGTCAGACTAAACAGTGCTGCTGTTAAGATCTCAGTGGGCTGGAGGCTCCAGATGTCAAAGATCAGTGACACTTGTAGAGTCTCACTTAGTTCCCTGTTTAATTTCTTGATGTAATAAATTCTGGGTCTGAGTTTTTAATCTTCCCTAGCAATGAGTTCTCTGCTCTCCTGTGAGGTAGGTAAGCAGTATCTCTGCTTCTGAGATGAGGACAGAGGAGTTAATTTGCCACAGTTGCAGTGAGAGCCAGGGTTGGGATCAGGGAATTCTTGACCTTTTCCACCCCTCAAGGGTCCCCTTGATCACGCAGCATTGCTGAAAGTGATGTTTTTCTGCCCCTTGGCTGACTCGGACAGCACTACTGTTCCTGTCTGCTGAGCCACAGAATAGAAACCTAGAGCTAGGAAACTGCATCACTGCATAAGTTGAGGCTAGAAGTGTTGGTAATTGGTACACTTCATTGTGCCAGGATTCAAGTAATGCCCACCCACATCACCAGGGTCTCAGGTGAGGTTTGAGTAGTGGAGAAAGGTCTCCCGAGCCCGTGTTACTTTGACAAAACACTATGCTTATCCAGCTTCTCTCTGTTGTTTAGATCTCTCCCTCTCCTTGAGACGGGTAAAGCAGTGTGATTCAACAGGCAGCTCACGCACAGTTCCCATATTGCTGTCTGGGAAATCCCAGACAGCAGTGCGCATGAAAGTCCCCCAGGATCAGTGGTGGGCCGCTCATGCGCAGTGGTCATTTGTCCAGGAACCCAGGACTTGCCCAAAGATCTAAGATCCCATCTGCATTCAATTTCCAGGCAGTAAAACAGGTTGAGTTTAGGGAACCCTGAACATATGGTAGCTCTGTGCCTGTGTGCTAATTCTATCCAGCCCTGAACAATTTCCAGCCTGGCAAGTAGACCAGGGAACAACCCTCTGGCAGGTGGGGCTGGCAGGACTGTCCTGGATGTGACCTTCTGGTGTGCTGCGCACTGAGCGTCCCGGGTTGTTGCCCTTCTTGTGGGAAAAGAGAGAAGTTGTGTCGCTCCGGAAGTCCTCCTGGGATAACCTGAGACTGGCACCTAGTCTGCTCTACTGCCAAATTAGGAGCAGATGAAT